CAATTTGACTGAGCATTTTTCCTTAGAGAAGCTCCACATTAAATGAAAACAATAAAACATGGTGTGAAGTGCCTGACATCCTGGGAGAAAATGATTGGATGGCTGTTGGTTAAGTCCATGTTCAAAGAAAAAAGGAGATCTGGGCTTGGCTGGTGTGACGCAGTGGTTGAGCATCGACCTATGAACCAGGAGGTCAGGGTTAGATTCCTGGTCAGGGCACATGCCCGGGTTGTGGGCTTGATCCCCAGTGTAGAGCATGGAGGCAGCCAATCAATGATTCTCTCTCATTATTGATGTTTCTCTCTCCCCCTCTCCCTTCCTCTCTAAAATAAAAAAAAAAATTTAAAACAATTAAAAAAAAAAGAAAAAGGGGATCTGGTGGAAGATGGCAGCAGGAAACATAGAAGCAGGTCACTCAGGTACAAGATTTTAGAATAAATACTATGCAGCAATGAAACATTTATTTTGGAAAAAATAATAAGGATGGCATAATTGCTAATGTAAAGTGAAAAACAGACTAGGAATATAGGGTAATCCCATTTTTAAAAAAACTATGAATTTAGATGGCATTAGAGATATGTTGAGTTGTAATCTTCCAATTAAAAATATTGTCCTGTTGGTATGATCAGGAGGATTTTGTAATTATGTTTTGGTTATACTAATACTAGAGGCCCGGTGCATGGATTCATGCACCTGTGGGGTCCCTCTGCCTGGCCTGTGCCCTCTTGCAATCCGGGACCCCTTGGAGGATGTCGGATAGCTGATTTTGGCCTGATCCCTGCAGGCCCTATCCAGACAGGAGGGAGCCTAATCCTGTGCATTGAGCATCTGTCCCCTGGTGGTCAGTGTGCATCACAGCAACAAGTAGACCGGTCATTTGGTCACTTAGGTGTGTGTGTGTGTGTGTGTGTATATATATATATATATATTTTTTTTTTTTTCAAAGCAAGCACACAGAGTATTGAGGTAGACAAGTTATTTCCAACACTTTCTTTTTCTATTTGTTGTGGTGGGACCCTGGGCATGACTCAGGTGCCCATAAAATAATCCCTGAAATACTGCACTCAACAACTGTCTTATGCTTTCTATGGTGAGAAATGCCAAGAAAATAACTTGCATTGGAATGTACCCCTATAAACATTAAATCTTACAGAATGTAATTTGATCTAAAAGCAAGCCTGAAAAGATGTGTCAGTTTTGTGTTTGCCTCTATTATTAACAGAACCATGAGTGAGCCCTGCATCACTCATGTCATTTCTCACTAAGCCACCAGGGGTCAGTGCGTGTCTGCTTGGAACAATAACACTGCATGGCCTCAAAGGTTTCTTTACTAGGTGGCTTTCTTTTTTAAAAAAATATATATTTTATTGATTTTTTTTACAGAGAGGAAGGGAGAGGGATAGAGAGTTAGAAACATCGATGAGACAGAAGCATCGATCAGCTGCCTCCTGCATACCTCCTACTGGGGATGTGCCCACAACCAAGGTACATGCCCTTGACCAGAATCGAACCTGGGACCCTTCAGTCTGCAGGCTGGCGCTTTATCCACTGAGCCAAACCGGTTAGGGCTAGGGGGCTTTCTTTATAACGTTTTCTGATATCAGAAGATTTATTTTTTATATTTTTAATTTTTATTTATTGATTTGAGATGGGGAGAGAGACACATCAGTTTATTGTTCCACTTATTGATGCTTGATTCTTATATATAACCTGATCCGGGATCAGACAGACCCCCAAACTTGGAGAATTGGGACCACTCTAACCAACTGAGCTATCCGGCAAGGGCAATGTAAGATTTCTTGAGGAAATATTTACTTGCTTTTCTTCATTTATTTCATTTGGAAGCTAATGAGAATCTACCACCAGTACCAAATATAGGTTGAACCATTGGGCCAAAAATGTCCCTTGTGAGTAAAACAGACATGAAAAATAATGTGTTCAACCCTTGTCCTTGATCATCTGTCTTTTTCACTATCTCAACAGTCATGAATAATCTTCTGGGCAAAACAATATTGACCCTCTGTGTAACGAATTAGAGATAACTGTCCATCATGTGTCCACATCTTTGTGATAGGAATCTTTGAGTAGCAAGTGACCCACTCATAAGATTGTGAAAATGTCACTTAAAACTTGAAGAGACACAATGAATGACACGATGACCAGATCTTTGTGGAAGTCTGTCCAAGTGGGAGATCTTTTCTTTTTTTAATATATTTTTATTGATTTCAGAGAGGAAGGGAGAGGAAGAGAGAGATAGAAACATCAATGAGAGAGAATTATTGATCGGCTGCCTCCTGCATGTCCTCTACTGGGGATCAAGCCCGCAACCCGGGCATATGCCCCTGACTGGAATCAAACCTGGGACCCTTCAGTCTGCAGGCTGACGCTCTATCCACTGAGCAAAACAAGCCAGGGCAAGTGGGAGATCTTTTCAGCACAGCCAAGGCTGGGTCCATACAGTCTACTCTCTAAGCACTGAGTTTGCTTTGCCCTGGGGAATGTGAATTAATCCTTGATATCCTCAAAAAGCATGAGGGTCAGAAAAGGGAAAAGAGGTTATGATTGTTGTGGAAGAGAGATAAGGTTATGATTTTAATTACTTGGGACCCTGCCTAAAGCAGGTCTCCTCTCTGTACAATAATTTCATCACTGCTCAGCCATCTGAGAGCAGAGTCCACACCTTGGTTCTGGAATATTTTAGGTGCCTAGACCATCACCTGAGAGTGAAGACGTGACATATACCCCACAGGACACCTACTACATAAGGACACACTACCATGACTGGGAGATATAGCAGCTCTACCCAATACATAGACACAAACACAGGGAGGCTGTCAAAATAAGGAGAAACATGTCCCAAATGACTATCTACAATAATAAAAGAGAAACATGCAAATTAACCATCACTCCATCATCCCACTACACCCACCAGCCAATCAGGATCGAGTATGCAAATTAACCCAACTAAGATGGTGGCGGCCACTGAGCTGGAGTGAGCAGGAGGCTTGGATTGACCCCGGTGATGGAGGAAGCCAAGCTTCCCGCTTGCCCTGGCCGGCCCTGGGCTCCGCTCAAGGCTACAAAGTTTCAATTGGGTCGCCGGGGGGTGTGGCCAACCTGAAAACGGCCATCAGCCCCTCACCCAGGCTGGCCGGGCACCCCAGCGGGAACCCCCCGCCCCGACCCTGAAGGGGCTGTGGGCAGCCTGAAAACGGCCCTCAGCCCCTCACCCAGGCTGACCACACCCCCATGGGGTGAGGATCCCTGCTGGGGGGCTTGGCCAGCCTGCAAACAGCCATCAGCCCCTCACCCAGGCTGGCCAGGCACCCCTGTGGGACCCCCACCCTGATCCGGGACACCCTTCAGGGCAAACCAGCCGGCCCCCACCCGTGCACCAGACCTCTATCATATATAATAAAAGGGTAATATGCAAATTTACCCTAACAGCAGAATGACTGGGAATGACTGGTCACTGTGCCACACAGATCACCAGGGGGCAGACGCTCAATGCAAAAGCTGCCCCCTGGTGGCCAGTATGCTCCCACAGGGGGGGCTCTGCTCAGCCACAAGCCAGGCTGCCAGTACAGCGGTGGTGGTGGGAGCCTCTCCCACCTCATCAGCAGCGCTAAGGATGTCCAACTGCAGCTTATGCCTGCTCCCCACTGGCAAGTGAACATCCCCTGAGGGCTCCCCAGCTGCCAGAGGGATGTCTGACTGCCAGCTTAGGCCTGACCTCCTGGGGAGTGGGCCTAAGCCAGCAGGTGGACATCCCCTGAGAGGTCCCAGATTGCGAGAGGGCACAGGCTAAGCTGAGGGACCCCCTGAGTGCACAAATTTTTGTGCGCCAGGCCTCTAGTCCTACATAATAAAAAGGTAATATGCAAATGGACCAAACGGCAGAACAACCAAAGTGTAATATGCTAATGATATGCTAAGGCTGCTCAACTGCTTGCTATGACATGCACTGATCACCAGGGGGCAGATGCTCCAACTGGTAGGTTACGTTGCTGCTGGGGTCTGGCCAATCGGGACTGAGAGAGATGGGCCAGACATGTCCTGAAGTCCTCCCGTGGTCCCTCCCTGGCCCGATTGAACACTGGTGGGGTCCTTCAGCCTGGCCTGTGCCCTCTCGCAATCCAGGACCCCTCAGATGATGTCAGAGAGCCTGTTTCAGCCCCATCCCGCAGGCCAATCCCCTTGGGATGGCGCCAGATGCAGGGCTCATGGATGGTGAGCGCTGGTGTGGCAGCGCGAGCCTCTCCTGATTGGGACTGATTGGGTGCAAGCCCGCGGCAGGCACAGTGGGGCCGGGATGAGCAAGAGTGGCAGGTAGGAGCTGCAGACGGCGTTGGACTGTGGGTTTTGGCCCTATCCCTGCAGGCCATCCAGAGGGACCCCACCCATGCATGAATTCGTGCACTGGGCCTCTAGTTTCCTCAATAATAAAATATAGATGATAGGCCTCTTCACAGGTTTGGTGAAACAATTTAAAGAAAAACAAAAACAAAATATATGTATATATTTAGAATATGGACCTGGCATACAGTAGCACTCAATAAATATTTTCTACTATCCCCAAATTTGTCCTCCCAAATCTTGAGTTTATTCTTGGTGCTTTGGTAGGGTTTTTAATTGTTGCCATTGGTTAGTGTCTGTCTTTCTCACTAGACTCTAAATTCCAAGCAAGTAGAAATTATGCCTATTTAATTCAGCTTTTAGCCAAGGTACCTATTCTGGCTGGCAAATAAACACTAATAGAGTGCATGTTTCCTAGAAACCAAAACCAAAATAATAATAAAAAAACCCTTCCTTTTAGTAACAATACAATGATAACAACAAGAAACTTGCTGGAGTTTTAGCTTTTGATATGGATCCAACTTCAAATGGTCTCTAATCTTGTGGAATAAAGTTCAGAAAACTGAGGCTTGCAGTCTAATAATAGAAAACCCTGGGCTCTTAAGAGAGATAAAGGGAAAATACATGCTACCTTACATGGGGTGTAAAGGTTAAAAGGAAAGATTTTATTCAACAGATTCTATTTATGAACAAATCATGGCAAATACTGGAGGAAAAAATTCCTTTGTGGTCTTCTAGATACTGTTGGTAGGCTCAATAAATACTGATGGGGGCCATTTCAAGACAGTTTTGCAAAATGTGCTTGGCATACTGGATGGTACACAAGATGATTTTACCTAGTACATGGATACACTTGTTTCAATATTCAAGTTGAATATTTAAAAAATATATATGCAGAAAACAATATAAATAGCACATCATATTCTTTTTATAAAAAATTGATTTTGGAGAGTAAGGGAAAGGGAAAGATAAACATTGATGTAAGAAAGAAACATTGATTGGTTGCTTCCTGCATGCACCTCAACTGGGGACCAAACCCACAACCTAAGTATGTGCCCTGACCTGGAATCAAACCTGAGACCTTTCAGTGCATGGGACGATGCTCAACCAACCGAGCCACAGCGGCCAGGGTACACATCACATTCTTAATTTCGCAGATATAATTGTCAAGAAAAGTTAAAAAGCTCAGCCGGTGCGGCTCAGTGGTTGAGTGTTGACTTGTGAACCAGGAGGTCATGGTTCGACTCCCTGTCAGGGCACACATGCCTAGGTTGCAGGCTCTATCCCCATAGAGGGCATGCAGGAGGCATGATTCTCTCTCATCATTGCTGTTTCTATCTCTCTCTCCCTCTCCCTTCTTCTCTGAAATCAATAAAAATATATTTAAAAAAAACAATTGTGTTTTGTGTACTCACAACTGTAACCTATTTTTGCCCAACCCTGTATATAAAAACTAACCAATGGTGTCAAGATATTCGATTTGATGAATAATTACAATAGCCAAATTCCCAAAATCTCTATAAACAACCTAAAGAATTACTCTTAAAACCATGCTAGACCAAAACTGCCTGGAACAGATTAGGTGCAATGTATACTAAGACATATATACAACTCTCTAGTATAAAATTTTTCAAAAAAACATGGATAATATAATCTATATATAGAAAAGTCTAGTCTGTCTGACCAGTAGCTATGATGTGCACTGACCACCAGGGGGAAGATGCTCAATGCAGGAGCTGCCCCTGGTAGTCAGTGCACTCCCACAGCAGGAGTGCTCCTCAGCTGACTGACGGGCACCAGATGGTGAGCTCACGCGAGCCTCTCCCACAGACACTCCCCCTGCACGCCCCCCCTACCCTGCCCCCCATCCAGACCGGGTCCAGGATTGGGACTGACTGGGTGCGAGCCTGTGGCCGCTTCTCCGTCATGGGCACGCCGGTATCACCCTAGGACGGGTGCGTGGAGACCACAGTGGAGCAGCAGCGAGCCTACTGAACAGCAGGGCTGGGATGAGCAGGAGCGATGTGGCTCCGACCTGGGTTTGGGCTCCTCCCCAGCCGCCTGCCACTTCATGCACTACTACATCCCTTGGGGGATGTTGGACTGCTGGTTTTAGCCTGATCCCTGCAGGCCAGGCTGAGGGACCCCACCAGTACATGAATCCATGCACCGGGCCTCTAGTAATTTATATTTATAAAGAATAGCCATATATAAAAACATTGTTATGAAGAACAAACAAACTCAGAAAAAAGTAATCAGAGTATTACTTCCTACACATAAGGCAACTAATGCCCCAGTACCTCAAAGTCCTTTATGAAAGGAGATAGCTTAATAAGTTCTAGGTTCAGGGGTTTTTTGTATTACTTTTTTTTCTTCTTTTTCTTTTCATCTACTTCCATTTTAAGCTTAACTTCTTCAGCTGTGAGAGCTCCCAGTTTCTTATTCTTTGCTTTCTTAACCTTTTCCTTGATGGCAGCCACGTCAATTTTAGTTTCAGTAGAAGCTAGACAAATAAAAACACAATATGTGTAATTCTTTAGATTTTACCAAATAAAATATAAAGTATTTATGTATTTAGTATAAATACATAAAATATATATGTATTTAGTACAATAATTTCAGAATATTTTTATAATTGGAAGGTCATGTTATAAAATATAAAACATCTGCCATAAGCCTAAAGGAAAATTAGAAATTTCTTTAAGAGGGAAAAAAACAACAACTTTAAAAACACATTAGTGAAAATATATGTGAAAATGGCATTATAGTTTAGCTATGTGAACCAATTACTGGATTCAACTGGATTCAACTATATTAAAACTACATTCCTCACCACCCCCAACCCCTTCAATCATACTTCAAGTTAGATTATTTTTACTTATATTCTTTCCCACATTTTGGAACTTTACAGCACTTATTAATATGCCAATTTTCCATCTTACTTGTTAAAATAATTTAGAATTCTATTTCATGAAGAATATTACATGTCATCCTTCCAACTTCCATAATTTTAATTAATTAATCATGAAGTTATAAGTCAAAATCATCTCTAATACCACATAAAAACTTAAAAGCTTTCCCAATGTTAGTTCAATGAATGACTAGTATTATTTTGTTGGTGTCCTTTGGCTGAAGATAATGAAAAATCCATGGTAACAATATAGGAATCAAACGTAAGCTATAGATTACATGAGAGAAGAAAATCACAACCTCTGCTGAGCTGTTTTTGAAAGGCGTGATAGCAGAGCTCAGGGATCTCGAGGCTTTACTCTTATTTGTACAGAAGAGTCACTCTCTGGTTTATATCTTTCAAACAAAAGGTCCTTCCCAAGCACATCGAGAGCCAGGAGAGGACTATCAGCCTGGGTACTTACACAGGGAATAGCTGTTACCAAAGTACAATTACCCCAGTCGTTTCCTGTCCCTGGGATTAGTGATTAATGACATGCTAAGTGAATTAACAGCAGATATGGTTATTTCCTTACTTAACACTGACATTTAGGTAAATTCTCTTAGGGTTTACTTTTCAGATAACAGATTTTTATATCACACCAAGAATTGGAAAACAAGCTTTACCTTCCTTAGGTTTCAAAACTGGCTTTTCTTTAGGTGGAATGAAAGCTTTGTTTCTTTCCTCTTGTCTCTTACTGAGAGCTTCTGCTTGTTTAGCCTATGTTAGTAATAAAACATACATTAGTGAAACACAATTTATAGCTAATTAAGAATTTAAGTTTCTATGAACTTTGTTATTGATGTTGTGAGCTAAATACAGTCTTACCTTTATTGCTTCCATTTTCTGTCGCTTCTTTTGACTTGCCTTCAGAAAGTATTCACCACTAGCCAATTCTTTATCAATCTGTTGAAATCAGTATTTACAATTACTTCAGAAATAATGTAGATGAAAGTCATTTTCTAAGGAAGGAATGTTACGAGGTAAAGATAGAGGCTCAGAAATCTATGATTAATTCATAAAGGGAATGACAAAAAAGAAGGAAATGTACTCTAAGTTGAAGGAAATATGTCCACAAAAGCATGGAGGTAGGAAAGCTGGTGATGTGTTCAAGGAATACACAAGAGACTGCTTTAAGGAGGGTGGAAGGTCAATAATTCAGAAAAGTGTAATAGGAAACTGGAAAAATAGTTTGAGGAAGGTTGAAGAAACTTGAATGTCAGGTGAATGAGGTGGGACATGATTTAGAAACGATTCAAGTTTCTGAGAAGAGTGAAGAGACCAAAGCAGGATTTTATTTTTAATGTAAGCTATTTTTACCTCTCAATCCTCACCAGATGACATGCATACAGAGAGGAAAGTAATGGGAGGAGAGAGAGAGAGAGAGAGAGAGAGAGAGAGAGAGAGAGAGAGAGAGAGAGAGAGAGAAACGCTCCCCAACTGGAGATGAAACCCACAACTCAGGTATGGGCTCTGAGTGAGAATCGAACCGACAACCTTTCGGTGCAGAGGACCACACTCAACCAATTCAACCACTCAGGCCGGGCCCGAGCAGCATTTTTTAAAGTACAGAAGAATAGAGAAGAGATAAAAACCTGGAATAAAGGGTAGTGGCATGCAAAATAAAAAGCAAGATTGTCAGAATTTGGTGACTAAAACACTAAGTAGAGAAAGCTATGGCTCATTCATTCACTATATAGTCGACATTGATAATTTATCTACCTTGCATGTACATAGCATTATTATATGTAAGACAATGTTCTAAATTCTTTATAGATGAAAGCACTTTACAACTACTAATTCATTTAATTCTCATTAACAATTCTTTGAGATAGGTGTTATCATTATCTCCATTTAAATAAGTTTTTAGCAAATAAGTGGCAGAATAAATCAACTGACTATTGAATCACTGTTTACAGGTATAGGGGAGAAAGACAATTACTAACTATAGGACAGGGCTATAAGAAGTACAGCAGCTGGCCCGGCTAGCGTGGCCCAGTGGTTGAGTGTTGACCTATGAATCAAGAGGTCATTGTTTGATTCCTGGTTAGGGCACATGCCCGGGTTGTGGGCTCAATTCCCAGTAGGGGACGTGCAGGAGGCAGCCAATGATTCTCTCATCATTGATGTTTCTCTCTCTCTCCCTCTCCCTTTGTCTCTGAAATAAATAAAAATATATTTTAAAAAGTTAAAAGAAAAAGAAAGAAGTATAGCGGGTGTTATGGAACATGGTTTAGTATCTGGATCACTCCACTTCCCCCCAACTATCAGTTTCTTTCTGGCTTCCCTTTCTTCCTTTCCCCGAGGAAACCTCATGATCCAGCACTTTCACTGTTTTTTCACCATGATGAACATCATTCCTTTCTTCCCTCTGACCTTTAATCAAACCTTCACTGAAAAACTTCAAACACGGGGCTGTGGAGGAAGACAGTACCCAGAAAGGGATGGGTTTACATGCTGAGCCTAAAGAACTAGCAGAAAGGGAAGAGTTTCCAAGGGAGGGAATAATGAAGCAAGAACCCTCAACAGATAGATGAAAAAAGAAGTAAAAGAGTAGGTAAAGAAAGAATTGATACACATGGGAAAATGTAGGTGAGAAAAAAGGAAGTTGAAAGAGTTCTTGCCTGATGGTCTAAAATATTTCAGTAAAATAAAATTAAATGACATCTGCTAGGAGTGGGAGAGTGCCTAGACAATTAAGAGGATTCACAGAACCACCAGACAATACTGAGCACCTATCTGAGGTTGGAAACATACATTTAGAATGGATATAATCCTTAGTTATGGCTTCTTCCATCTATGTGTAGTAGCCACATTATGAAAAAGAAGTCTTGGGACTGGTCCAAGTTTAAGAGTTTGCTGGGCAGGTATGATAGAAGGAAAAAGGAACATGAAAGAAAACAATGGGCAAAATAGGAAAGGACATTTCGGAAAGGAAACCAGAAGACAGTTGACAAAATTCCACCTAAAATACCCTCAATAAAGTTTCTTACAAAATTGATAACAGTTTCTCCATCATATAATGAAATTCAACATTTAATACTTACCTGACTTTCTGGTTGTGGTGGTGGGAATGGTGTATACTCTTTCTTAACAGTTTTTTTCTTTGGTTCCTTGCGTTTATTCACATTTTTGTGCTTGAACTGTGGCAAAAATCTTTCCCAACTTTGTGATCTTAATTCAGAATCTTTTGCCAACTCTCGTTTAATCATTAAGGTCTTTAGTCATGCAATATACAAACAAGGTAAAAAATGTTAATTTCAGATGTCATACATTTGTCAAATTAAGACATCATAAATACTGTTCTTATACTAAGTAAACTAATTCCATAAAGAAAAGAATATGTAATCTTGATTTTTAACCAAGCATAAGAAAATTAGATAAAGAAATTTCAAAATTATTGAAATAATTTGAGATGAAAGAGACTAAGCCAGCTTTTCAACCATTATTTCTTTAAACCTTAAAACTCAACTGAATAGCAGGGAGAATCCTTAATAATGTTCCCTGAAAGCAGGAAGCTTTCAGTAGCACCCGAAATATCACAAGGGGAAAAGCAAGCCTTTTCATGATTGGACAAAACCAATATTCTCGCATTTCCTCCACTCCATTTGAATTTTATAGACACTGAAACACAGGAAGATGCAAACCAGGCATTAGATGCATGACTAGCTCTCTTTATCGTTAATGTCCCAATGTAACTGAAAACTGTTCTTCCATGCCAATCTAATAAGAGGCTTTTAAACTTAACTTCACCAAATTTAACTGGACTGCTCAACAAATACTCATCATAAATAAAATAGCTCATTATAGCATGGTTACATTTCCAAGAACAGTCATGAACTTTGTGCACACAGTGATGTAACATCTCTCTCAAAAGGCTAACATACAAAACAGATAAAGCAGAGCTATTTTGGGTAAGCTAAATAATTTGAGTATTAAGTCCTCTCCTCCCCCAAAAGTTTTAATGCAATCTAAAATATCTGAGGTTTTATTTAATAGAAAAAGGCAGAATTCTGAAAGAAAACATCTTTAAATATAAAGATGGGCTCACAACCTAAGAAAACAGGATTGATATAATCTATCACAAATTCTGTGAAGCCTTTCTTGTATTAGAACTATATAATACACTAGGGGCCCAGTGCACGAATTCATGTACCTTGAAACGAACTGTGGGCTGCGAGGCTGCTGTGGGCACAGGGGTCTCGGCCCATCCTCTGTGCCCCTGCCCGGCCCCTCCTGCCGCAACCCTGCTCCCACCACCACTGCCGCTCCCATGCACTGACGGCGCTGGTTGACAGTGTGGAGCGATTGGAGCCGGCGCCAGCAGCAGGTGCAAGCGGGGCTGGTGCTGTCAGCAGGTATGAGCAGCAGCTGCTGCCCCAATTGCCCTTCAGGAGCAGGGGGAGGTGGAGAAGCCCTTGGGCGAATGGGGCCGGCAGCCGCTGCTCACACCCACTGATGGCGCCGAGTGATCAGAACCGGCGCCGGGCACTGGCAGATGTGAGCAGTGGCTCTGGCTGTGGGTATGAGTGGGGCCATTGCTGGCAGTGAGTGCGAATGGGGCTGGTAGTGGGTGCGAGTGGCAGCTGCTGGCCTCGATCGCCCCTCAGGAGCAGGGGGAGGTGGAGAAGCCCTATGGGCGATTGGGGCTGGCAGCCGCCACTTGCACCTGCTGATGGCGCCGAGAGATGCCGGCAGTGGGTGCAAGTGGCGGCTCCGGCGTTGGCAGCAGGTGCGAGTGGGGCCCGCGCCAGCAGCAGGTGCAAGTGCCTGCAGGACCGTGGCACATGGGAGCAAAGAATTTTCAGTAACCACCAGAGGCTCACCCCAAAGACAGCGACAGGCGCCCCACCTTGGTCTGGTGCCCCCTGCTCACTTGCTCCACCATCCCACTGTGGCCAATGCCTGCCATGTTCCGCACTCTGCCGCCTGCTGCCAATGCTTGCCATGTTGTGTGTGCCCCCTGGTGGTCAGTGCATGTCACAGCGACCGGTTGTTCTGCTATTTAGTCTATTTGCATATTAGGGTTTTATATATATAGATTAGTGTCCCTGTCAATACTGGACTCTACAGAGACCCAAGCTTTTAAGGAAGTAACTTGAGGATGGGGTAGAGTTGAGTGGATTGAATTCTACCTCTAATTTACCCAAAATATCTCTACTTTATCTGTTTCGTCTATTCAACTTTTATAAAAATTTAATTTCAAGAAAGTTTTCTGTAGCTAAAAGAAGTTTGACAACCACTGTTACAGGAATATATAATTAACACTCACTTTAATATTATAAATTGGATGAATATTCTTCATAGTATCTAGGACTACTTTTCGAACCTGAAATTTGCAAAGAAAAATGTATTAGTCATTTATAAATATCTTAATGAACCAGGTAGAAAGGAATTACTATATTGCAAAATATCCTACAAACCAGATAATGGCTGCCAAATTGAATAGTTCCTTCAATTGCTCTTAGTGGCTGCTAGCTCTTTCATAATAGTTAACCCTCGGTACAGTGACGTTACTCAATTGTACTGTGAAAACACGACATATTGAACAAGTGTAATACTCTGCAACAGTGATTTAGGGGGGAGATGGATTCAGAGTCAGAAAATGTGGGCTCAAATAATGGGACTGCCACTTTATTTGGAAAGATACTTAATTTTCCTGTTCCAGCTTTCTCATTTGCCATGTGGAAATGAAGATACCTCAAGGGTCTGTGCTAAGAACTGAATAACGTATTTACACTTTATAGAATTACAAAGTATTCAATGTATTTAAGTTATTATTGCCCCATGAGAAAAGGGTAGATCATTTCTAAGAATGAGGTCCAAGAAAGTTCTATTAAAGGCCCTGGAAAGGAAGAAGCAAGACCTCACAGCCAGATCCAGATAACAGTATCAAAGGGAGTCAATTGGAACAGTATCTGCTCAACAGATTTCCTCATAACAAGTTAAAATAAATGCAAACAAAAGAAATGTATCATAAAGGAAAATTTGAGTTTGACCTCGACTGTATACGTTTCTGCAAATAACATCTGTTCAATTCCCTAATATTTGAGCACATGTAACTACGTCATGTTTCTCATATGTGCTACGGACTAAGAGCTTAAACACCCATTTAAAATTTGTAGTGGAAGGAGAGATGGTGTGAAGACCTAATTGAGATGTGTATAACTGTCAAAGGTTGGTCATAATATGTTAGTGTCCAGGAGCAATGACTCTCTCAAATTCCATGAAGTACAACATATTTACTAATGGAAAAATCAAACAAAGCACATCCTAAAACAATACAATAATCATAAAACAATATATTATAACCACATTATTTAATTTGTTCTCTGCTGAAAATTAAGATATTAAGTCTCACCTCTTTTAAGCCACTAAAAGGTCCAATGGCTGAAACCGTGTTTCCCTGAACCATAATGTAACAGTTTGTTAAGAGTTCCAATGCCTACATCAAAGAACAGTAAGTTGAAATTCAGTTGAAATACGCTGAAAAACTAATGACAAAAACAGATACTCAAGTTTTCTACTGGTAAAAAGTACCTTTAATGTAGATCCTTTGGGACCAATAAGCCGTTGTCTTCTTTTTACAAATCTTTCTTTATTTCTTACTAAAGAACCTATTTTAATGATGTCGCATGCAATATCGTCCTGAAGAATTCGTACTGCCTTTTGAAAACATAAAGAAAATATTCTTTACAAATACATTTCTTTTCAAAGTCTACACTGATATCTAAGCAGAATAATGAAAACTCTACAGAGGGAGGGTGGGAGGGAATAAGAGACACCGAGAGGGAGGGAGGGAAGGAAAGAGGGAAGAACGGGTGGGTGGATACAGTGCTGTGTTATCTCTAATGGCACAAATAAAGCAGAATCTCTGTAACTGTAAATTTACCTGTTCAAATGAAACACTTCTTGCTAGTAGTTTTATTAGGTCTCTGGCCCTAATGATGATGTATGGATCAAAAGTCTTCTTTGTTGTACAAACAGTCATGCTGCCCTCGATCAGGTCCAGGGTTGCATTAACATGCTACAGAAAGGAAAGAGCAAACAAGCAGCCGCCTAAAAATGAATTCAGTTTAGATACTTACATAACCTATCCTAATCTAACCATTAATTACTATGAATTAATCGCTCTCTAAAATTCTATCAACTCTCTCCTTGAAGAAGCTGGGTAGTTAATATAAAGAATGCTTGATTACTTTCATACTTCAAAGAATATAGAAACTCAGGCAATTGAAACCATTTATATTTATTGGGGTTTAGAATACTTTGTACTTACTGGAATAAAGATAATATCTAGTTTAAAAAATATGTATCAATCCAAATGAGGCCAAACTTATACTCACATGCTATTTTCTAACATATGAGCATATTTTGAAGAATATGTAAACATAGCGAGTGAAGAACTATTTAACATAAGGCTGGGTCTGTATAAGTTTATGAGGGGGGGGAGGAGAGAGAGAGAGAGAGAGAGAGAGACCAATCTCAGATGTAGACAGCTATGAAACATTGCTTGCAGTTTGCCGAGTCACTCTCATACTCAATGGGCACAAATGAGTCCAGAGCAGTCCCTCAGTTTGAGAAATATATTTCATGTCACAACCTAGTATACATACATATCCTATACAATAAAAGCCTAATATGCTAAGTGTCTGGTCAACTGATCAACCAATCAAAGTGTAATATGCTAATGATATGCTAAGGTTGCTCAACTGCTCGCTATGATGTGCACTGACCACCAAGGGGCAGACACTCCAACTGGTAGGTTAGCTTGCTGCTGGGGTCCGGCCAATCAGGACTGAGCAAGATGGGCCAGACACGCTCTGGAGCCCTCCCGCGGTCCCTCCCTGGCTGGCCAACCTCATGTGTCCCTCAGCCTGGCCTGCACCCTCTTGCAATCTGGGACCCATCAGGGGATGTTGGAGAGCTGGTTTCAGCCCTATCCCGCAGGCCAGGCTGAGCAACCCTACTGGTGCACGAATTTGTGCACTGGGCCTCTAGTATACACATAAAATGAATCAAAAGTTTCATAAAATCATCCTTACCACATGTGACACATTCATATTTTAAAGACTCCTTATATCCACTAAATTGACTTCTGGATCCACTAATGGATTTCAACCCACATTTGAAAAACAAAAACAAATATACCACTCGAGGGGCATGGTAGCAGCAACAAATAGGAAAAAGATGGCACATCCACATCTTTTATTTAAGATTAAAATTAAGCAATTAGACAGAAACATGCCCGGCTCAAACTGTGCAGGTTTGTGACAACCACCACAGTACAGAATAGGCATTCTGAAACTTGGGAGTTCACAGATGAGTTTCAGACAGTCCATCAAATCCCTACAATTTTAAAGGAATGTGTATTTTTTCAGTAATCTATTATTCACAAAATTAAAAACACATGTATTACAAGAATAAAACTTATGTAGGCTGTTTAAAATACCAAAGGAACCAAATTAGTCAATTATGCTGGCACCTTAAAAAAATTCACCAGCACACATACATTTACTTAAAAGTCAAGGTATAAGCAGGAGCAAAATCTCAAAGAAATATATGAAATATGCATACATGTTCATTCAAGGCTTTTTGAACCAACGGCCAGCACTCTTTCAAGTAAGCTTCTCTATATTTTGGGAACAAAGTTGCAAAACTGCTTTCCTCCAGGAGTCCTCTGGGATTGTCCTCTTTGGAAAAAGCTGGTTCCTTCCAACCATCAGGAACAGTGAGGAGTTCTGATTCATCTAGAGAAAAAAACAAAACAAAACACACATCAGATTTTAGCCCACTTTTGGACGTTTATATGCATAGTAGGGTCCCTAGGTGTGGCTGGCAATCGGAGCCGATGGGGGCCTTCCTTTGTTCCATGCCGTCCCCTGGTGGTCAGCGCACATCATAGTGAGCGATCGAACTCCCGAGGGGACACTTTGCATTTTAGCCTTTTATATATATAGATAAGCAACCTTTCAAATTTTACAGAAGTGAAGCCTAAGTATGTGTATATATGTATATACTATATTTGCATATGTGTGTATGTACATAAAATTTTTAAAAGTTGATACTCTGATGTACACTTTCAGTTAATAATCACTAGTATAGGGTTTCCAAAGAGTTTTCATGAGCCTTATTTCTGTATACCCTTCATGATAACCATGAAAGGTAGGAAGAATCAGTATAATTTTTCCCATTTCATAAAAGACACTCAGACCAAAAAGATGAGTGATTTGCTTAAGGGACATAAAGGTCTCCTTTCATCAAAACAAAATGCCTCTGAAGGGCCATAAATTATCTCCCATAGCATTTATTTAAAACTCTTGGTCCTGGATTTCAGGAACTTCTTAAATCCAACAGCTACAACTTACATTAGTACTATTCAAAGGTATGCTACATAGGCCTGCAGCAGGAGCATAAGCTGCAAGTGTGTTAGAAATGTAATTCTTGCCCTAGCCGGTTTGGATCGGTGGATAGAGCGTTGGCCTGTGGACTGAAGGGTCCCAGGTTCGATTCCGGCCAAGGGAACATATTCGGGTTGTGGGCTTGATCCCCAGTGGGGGGCGTGCAAGAGGCAGCCAATCAATGATTCTCTCTCATCATTCATGTTTCTCTCTCTCTCTCTTCCTTCCTCTCTGAAATCAATAAAAATATATTTAAAAAAAAAGAAAGAAAGAAATGTAATTCTTGGCCTCCACCCCAGACCTATTGAATCTGAAGCTCTGGGCTGAGGCACAAGAATCTTTGTTTTAACAATCTTATCAGGAGATTCTTCTGCAGAAGCAGGTCTTGATAATCCATGTTATCCACCCCAGTGAGGTACACCTGCTTTCTGCTTCTTATACTTTGCTGTTTCTGGATGAAATCACAGAGAATTAGCTAATCTTAATATATCGTTCACTTCCCAATATCCTTAATAAAAGCTTGAAATGAACAATTGTCATTATTTAAAATGCACATCTGACCAAGTCCTTCCCAATTTAAACACTTCAATGGCTATGAATTTAAAAAATGGCAAAAAAAAAAAATACAGAGAAGTTTCACAACAGAGGAAGTAAATACAAATAGCCTTAAAACATGCGAAAAGATGTGCAACCTCATTAGTAATAAGAAAAGTTCAAAAGAAAAACCAATTGATACCATTTCATACTTACAAGATGACAGAAATTCATAATTCAGATAATACCAAGTGTTAGTTACTGTGGATATAGAGCTAAGAGAACTCTCATCCCCTGCTAGAAGTATAAACTAGGACAAACCCTTTGGGAAAGAATTAGCATTGTTACAGGATTCCAGGGCAGGAGGAATGGGGAAACTGAGACAGAAAGTCTCAGTTTTACAAGACCAAATAGTATGGGCAATTTGCAGCCAGCTTTTTTTTTTTTTTTTAAAATAATATATTTTATTGATTGTTTACAGAGAGGAAGGGAGAGGGATAGAGAGCCAGAAACATCGATGAGAGAGAAACATCGATCAGCTGCCTCCTGCACACCTCCTACTGGGGATGTGCCCGCAACCAACGTACATGCCCTTGACCGGAATTGAACCTGGGACCCTTGAGTCCGTAGGCCAATGCTCTATCCACTGAGCCAAACCGGTTAGGGCTGCAGCCAGCTTTTAAATAACAAGCCATTATCTTCTCCAGCCAAGGACACTTGAAAGCAAATGGTTAAAAACCTCCCTAATGGGAATGCAGAAAGGGAGGGGGGAAAGGGACAGGAAAAGGGGGCAATGTTACTCCCTAGGCAGAAAAGCCAGCAGTCTCTAGGTTATAAAATTACCAGGGGCTTCTCATGAATTCTGGGAAGGCCACAACAAAGTAAAAAGGGACCTTGAGAATTAATCTGCACTAATAGGTTCAGCAAAGAAATTTTGAGCCCTAGCCGGTTTGGCTCAGTGGATAGAGCATCGGCCTGCAGACTGCAGGCTACCAGGCCCCATTCAGGTCAAGGGCACCTATCTCAGTTGCAGGCTCAATCCCCAGCCCTGGTCAGGGTGCACGTGGGAGGCAATGAATCGATGTGTCTCTCTCTACCTCTCTTCCACTCTCTCTAAATATCAATGGGAAAATATCCTTGGGTGAGGATTTAAAAAAAAGAAGAAGAAAGGCATCTTTAGCAACTACAAGTTGAAACTAGTACCAAATGACTGACTACAAGAACCTATACAGTGAGGGAAAAAAAATAAATTTTGAAACCTATAGACGGGAGGGTCTATCAGCCTGAGACCCCCACCCAATTTGCTTTTCAGATTAGCTGCCCGTCTGCACTTCTTAAGCCAGATGTATAGGTTTGCTTGCTTTGCTTCTTTATCAAAGGTGCATGTTTTAATAAGTTGGCTTTTCACAACCCAGTCAAGGTCCTTGTACACATTCATTTATAAGAGAAGACAAGGATGGAGGCTGTTCCCAGGGGGAGCTGTCCGGGAACAGCTCTCTGGTGCTGGTGAGATGTGCCTCTAACAGCACCACCTGCGCAGACCCTACACTTCCAGGATTCCAATCCCGTGGACACACCTAGAGAAACTCTTGGACATGTAAAGCTAGAGATGTGTGCAAACATGTCTATAGCAGCACTGTTCATAACAGCACACAATGGGAACAATGCACATGTCTATCAATGGGAGAATGAAAATATAAATTATTTTAAAAAATATTTTCTTATTGATTTCAGAGAGGAAGGGAGAGGGAGAGAGAGATAGAAACATCAATCTATTGATAAGAGAGAATCACTGACAGGCTGCCTCCTGCAAAGCCCCCTATTGAGGATTGAGCCTGCAATCCAGGCATGTGCCCTTGACTGGAATCGAACCAGGGAGCCTTCAGTCTATAGGTTGACGCTCTATCCACTGAGCAAAACCAGCTAGGGCGAAATATAAATGAGCGTACATTCATACAAGTGAACATCACAGCAGGAGGGAAACATACAGCTTCAAGTATTGTCCTGATTAAATAACAAAAACAAAGTTAAGCCTAAGATGCAGGACACAGAACCACGCCCACAGTGCTCTCCCAGTCACATAAAATTAAAATGTAGGCAACAGTACATCGCTTTGAGCATGGTTGGGAAAGACTATGAAGAAAAAGCACAGAATGATCAACACGATTTAGAACAGTTACTTCATGTCTCAAAGAAAAAGGGTGTGTTCTGAGAGGAGCTTGCAGGGGGCTTTTCGGGTCTCACAACGTTTTGTTCTGCTCAACGGTCTGAGCGCTCCTTTCTCACGTGCTGGCTTTAAGCTGTACATGTACCATACTCCACTATGTACACTCATAATAAAAAAAACAAAACAAAACGCCGTTTATACCTTTCTAATGCCTTCAGAATGAGAGTTCACGGTTTTTAACACTTCCCATAAGAATGGTTTCTGAGGTCCTGGGCTATTTCTCTAGCCTCTCTTCCTGGCATTCATACTGACGAAAATGGATAGAACCAGAATAAAACAAGACGGCAATTTAAAAGCAGGGCAGTCTAAAGGGGAGGAGCCGTGTCGTCTAATATTTTAACAATTTGATAATAATAATAAATGATGCAAAATTTCTTGAGGAGCTCACACACTAGCATTCAGGACAGCCAGACATCTCCTCCTCATCACTCTGTCTCACCCCTTATTACCAGCGTCCACTCAAGTAAATAATAACCTCCTTCTCCCACCGCATCCCTCATCTGTCAGCGACTTCCGCCCAGCGCCGCAAGTCAAGGGCTCTGCGACGCCCTCCAAAGTGTCTTAATGATGATCACTTCACGGAAAACGAAGTCCGCAGGACCTGCGTTCTGGGAGCCTTTAGCAAAAGTGATTATTGGGAACACGTGACCGACACCATATCCGCCAGACGGTTCCGCAGGCCCGGCCAATACCCCTAAAAAGCAGCTCTTATAGGCACTCAACTTCAGAGAACAGACTCGAGGCGGCGTCACACGATCGCAACTGAACCTCCACACCCGGGCTTCGGTGCTCACACCATCTTACCTCGGTTCTCCTGCTTCTGCTTCTGGTTACGAAATTCACTCTTCCCAGCCGCCGGGGCTAGCCCGTTCGCTTGGGAGGTCGCCATGTTCGAAACGCTCCCGTTACTTCCGGAAGTGGAACGGTTCTTTAATCCTTCCGGCTAAGATCCCTGTACTCAGAGTTCCGCAGAACCCAGATGAGGAGATCTGCGCAGTCTCTGTGCGTGCCAACGCTAGAACCCGCGGATTTGTGTCAACTACAACGCTTCTTTCACGTAGCTCCGGGCTTCTTCCCAGGATGCAGTGCAACCACGGAGTTTGACTGCATGCTGGGAATTGTAGTTTAGCTCTGTAGGCAAGTTGGAAACGGTCTTGTCTGTAATTTTCCCATGGCTTCAGAGTCTAACCCGGGCTCACCCACTCTAGGGTTTGGCCGCAAAGTGCAACCTATCATTAAAGTCACTCCTTTGGTAAATATTTATATGATAGTCAAATATGTGGTAGACGTTGGGAGAAGGTACTAATATGAGAAGTATGGTTCTCAGTGGCAGGAGGTGACAGTAATAGCTACCATTTACTGTGAGATTTCTTTGTGCAAGGTACGTTTTGTGTATTGTTTCTAATCCTTAAAACCAAAGGTATACATTGAGAAAACCAAAGTTTAAAACCCCCCCACAAGATTTATGATTTTTTTGGAAGATTAGTTTCCAAAGCTCTTGTTTTGGATGGTGATTTTCTAGGTTCTTGGTATTTCTCTTTCTAAGCCAGAAGGATAGCAATTAAGCATTACTTCTGAAATATTTCACATAGCCTAAGACTTCCCAAAATGACTGACTCCAGGCCACCCCAACACTGCATATTAGATGACTTCATGGTGTGAGGTTCACCACTACTACAAACCTTACACTTCTAGGAATCTAAAAGTTCTTTGACTCGCTAAAGATAACTTGTTTTGATGATTGTTTTTGCTTGCTATTTAAAATTTTTTCTGCAGAATAGAGGAAGTTTGATAGGTTGAATTCCTCACATCAGTGACATGGGAAACAATGATCTGAAATCTACCCTTGTGTATCTTCTAGAAAGGATTCTCATGAGGTACATGTAGAAGAGAGATGGTTACTTAGGGATAGAAGATCCCAAGATTAGATTAAGATTTTTGCTGTTAGCCTATGTGTCTTATAAATGACAGGCAATGATTTCATCTCTATATTCTTATAATCTGCTAAAAAAAAGTTGACAAATCCCTGTAACAGAACAAATAACAGGTGAAAGTTATAAAGTGAGACGCAATCCTTCAATATTCCCAGAAGACCTCGGAAGCAGGTTTTTATTACCCTATTTAAGGAACTCAGTGAACTTAAATAATAGTGACTTAGACTTCAAGTCTAGGCAGTCTGACCACTAGTGGCTCTGTGCAAGGAGGGCTGGATTTTCAGCCTCATTGCTTTTGGACTTGAGCTGCATCAGCAACCCTTCTCTGTGTCTTCAGCCTGCTGGCCCACCCTAAAGATTTTGGACTTTCAGGCCTCCGTAATCACATGACTATTATATAAATACTTTGGAGAACCCTAACTAATACAGCAATTTGTAGTAGAGTAAATACAATGGCTAATAAACATATTACACTTAATCTTTTTTTAAAAACATATATTTTATTGATTTTTTACAGAGAGGAAGGGAGAGGTAGAGGGATAGAGAGAAACATCGATGAGAAAGAAACATCAATTCAGCTGTCTCTTGCACGCCCCCTACTGGGGATGTGCCCACAACCGGGGTACATGCCCTTGACCGGAATCGAACCTGGGACCCTTCAGTCTGCAGGCCAACGCTCTATCTGCTGAGCCAAACCGGTTAGGGCTACACTTAATCTTATTACTGTCAGAGAAGCATATAGATATCACTTTTCAGCCACCAGATTGGCAAAAAAGAAATAAAAAATATTTTAAATAATATTCTGCTGGAGGAGAGAGCAGTCTTATACAGACTGATAGAAATGTAAACTGTTACTGCCTTCTTGCAAAGCAATCTATCAATATAAAATATATACATATTCTTCCACAATAATTTCCCTCTGGGGAAATTGTCAACTAGAAATAAAGCACCATTTCATTAGGAAATATGTACAATTGTGTTGATTATTGTCTTGTATAGAAGTAGTTCAGTGAATGGTTCTTTAGAGACACACTGACTAGTTTAGTGCCCACTGGCTGTATAGGCTTGGGCAAATTTCTTACTCACTCCTGTTCAGTTTCCTACAATGGAGAGAATAACCTTAACTCAGTGAGTTTTTACATGTCAAGTGCTAAAAAAGTGCTTTGCATATGAAACACAGTCAATAAGTATTAGCTATTATTTATTTAGAGTGGCAAAAAATAAAAAACAACTTAACTATCAATTAGAGATAAGTAAATTGATGTTACCTTCATAACCATGAGGTATTATGCAACCATTCATAAGAATTAATTAAATTTATGTGGAGAACCCAGCTGGTGTGGCTCAGTGATTGAATGTTGACCTATGAACCAGGAGGTCACAGTTTGATTCCCGGGCATATGCCCGGTTGTGGGCTCAATCCCCAGTGTGGGGCATGCAGGAGGCAGCTGATCAATGGTTCTCTCCCATGATGGATGGTTTTCTCTCTCTTCCTCTCCAAAATCAATAAAAATATTAAAAATATAAATATATGTGTGGAGAGTTTACCCAGGGTCATTGAATGATAAAAGTTAAATACAGAAAGATGGGATAATTATAATTATCCTATATAATAAAAGGCTAATATGCTAAGTACCTGGTTATCTGGTCGTCCATTCAACCAATCAAAGCGTAATATGCTAATGATATTCTAAGGCCACTCAACCACTCGCTGTGATGCGCATTGACCACCAGGGGACAGACACTCTGACCAGTAGGTTAGCTTGCTGCTGGGATCTGGCAGATTAGGACTAAGTGAGACCAGGCCAGATAAGACCTGGAGCCCTCCCACGGTCCCTTCCTGGCTGGCCAACCATCTGCATCCCTTCCCAGCCCCGATTGTGCACCAGTGGAGTCCCTCAGTCTGGCCTGCGCCCTCTTGTAATCCAGGACCCCTGGGGGGATGTTGGATTGCCGATTTCAGCCCAATCCCACAGGCCAGGCAGAGGGACTCCACTGATGCATGGATTCGTGCACCGGGCCTGTAGTATTAAAATAATTAGATTAGGAGGAACCAAGATGGCGGCATAGGTACACACTTATACTTGCTGCCTTGCACAACCACATTAAAAATACAACTAAAAGATGAAATGGATATCATCCAGAACCACTGGAAGGCTGGCTGAGTGGAAATTCTACAACTAGAAGGAAAGAAAAAAGTGCATTGAAGTGGGTAAGAGGTGCAGAAGTGCAGAGGTATGGAGGTGCGTGCGGAAACAGGCTGGCAACTGGGTACACTGTTGTCTTTTTCAATCAGGAGGGAGATACAAGCTCCTAATTCCTCTGAACTCCAGTTCTGGGTGAGATTCTGGGACCCAGACTCATATGGAGAGAAACTGGACTGTCTGGCATCAGGCTGGAATGTGAGGGCAGCTTCCTTGCAGAGGTGCTTGCAGTGATCATTGTTCCTGCACAGGGCTGTGGGACACAGAGACTCCAGAACCTCTCCAAAGTGGGGCTGATTGGCAGCCATTAAGGATTGCTCCGCCCTGATGATTCCCTGAGACCCCGCCCCACCCAATTTATAACCCCACCCAAGCTATGAGCAGAGGCTTTTTCATATGAATGGCCAGTTCCTTTGCAATCTAAAACCTAACAAACTGCAACTGGGTCAAAGAGTGCCAAAGTCTCCAAAAAAAGGCTTAGACATCAGCCTGCATTGCTTCAGGGCTGGGCCTCATCCAAACCCCAAACAAAGAGGAGAAATCTGCAGATCTCTCTGTAGCTACTGCTGGGTGGCCTCAGGCAGTGGGTGACTTTGCACCTCCTTGGAGATCCCAGAGCCAGTGTACCCAGTGGTCAGTGAAACCATACCAGAGTGCAACTCTTCACATCCATAGGCGACACATTCAAGGGGAAGACTTAGTGAGCACCAAAGTCCCATTGAAGCAAGTCCTGCTCCATGAGGGTGTCTCCAGCACAGCAGGTCTCCTATTGTAGACACAGCTGGTCCTCACAGCCAATTGGCCTGGTGGTCAATTCCTCCCAGTGATACCAACAGCAATCAAGACTTAACTACAACAAGACTGTGCACACAGCCCACAAAGGGGTGCACCAAGAGTGTCAACCTTGCCCTAACCGGTTTGGCTTAGTGGATAGAGTGTTAGCCAGTGGGCTGAAGGGTCCCAGGTTTGATTCCAGTCAAAGGCATGTACTTGGTTGTGGGCACATTCCCAGTAGGGGGTGTGCAGGAGGCAGCTGATCAATATTGCTCTCTTATCGATGTTTCTAACTCTCTATCCCTTTCCCTTCCTCTCTATAAAAAAATCAGTAAAAGATATATTTTTAAAAAGAGTGTCAACCTCAGGTAATTAGGGAGGCTGAGCCACTGGACCCTACAGGACACCTAGCACACAAAGCCACTCTATCAATACAGGGAAGCAGCCAAAATGTAGAGACAAAGAAACACGTCACAAATGAAAGAAATGGAGGAAAGTGAACTACTGGATATAGAGTTCAAAACCACAGTTATAAGGTTATTGAAGAATCTTCTAGAAACCTCCTAGAAATTTAGTGAGACCCTCAAGGATATGAAAAAGGACCAATTAGAAATTAAGCATACACTGACTGAAATAAAGAATAATATACAGAGATCCAGCAACAGACTAGAGGACCCCAAGAATCAAGTCAAAGATTTGAAATACGAAGAAGCAAAAAACACCCAACCAGAAAGGTAAAAAAGAAAAAGAATCCAAAAATATGAAGATAGTGTAAGGAGCCTCTGGGACAACTTCAAGCGAACCAACATCCGAATTATGAGAGTGCCAGAAGAAGAGAGAGCACAAGATATTGAAAACCTATTTGAAGAAATAATGACAGAAAACTTCCCCCACCTGGTGAAAGAAATAGACTTACAAGTCCAGGAAACACAAAGAACCCCAAACAAGAGGAATCCAAAGAGGACCACACCAAGACACATCATAATTAAAATGCCAAGGGCAAAAGACAAAGAGAGAATCTTAAAAGCAGCAAGAGAA